TGCCAAAAGGTGGCAACACTTCAAGCTCTTAAGCTGTAATTTTTTAGCTGTGTACATTTGTGTTTTTATTTTAAAAAATTCTTGAAGTTTAACTAAACTTTGATAAAAAAAAAAAATTGTTCTTAATTGAATTTATTATTATTAATATTTTATTAACACACTAATTTATTATTTATCTATTAAATTTTGTTCTACCTACTCTTTTATTTGATCTTCATTCTTGTGGTTTATTATGTCTTGTAACTTCCCCAATTGTAACATTAAAGGCGAGTCAGATCGCTACGTTTCATGCTGGCTTTGTGATGGGCTTGCCCATATTAAATGTGTTGGACTGACTGGTAGAATCTTAGATTCTATTATCGACTGTAAGGGATTGCGTTGGTCCTGTTTAAATTGTAGATCTATTGAAATCGATCTATTTAAAGTTTATAGGGAGACACGCAATGGCTTTAACGAAATCGGTCGTGATCTTGTAACCCTCACTGAAAAAATTTAGGCACTATGAAAAATTGTTCAAATCTTTTAAGTGCCTGAATGATTCTCACGAATCCTCTAAACCTGCTCCTAAGCGTAAACGTCCTTCCGATGAAGTAACACTTAGTTCTTCTGTTCAGAAAAGAACGTCTCCTCCCAATGACCTAATAAATCTCTTTTCTCCTTGCCCTCAAGGTGATAAGCCGTCAACTTCCAAAGAGCTCAATTCCCCAAAAGCTCTATCTAATAGTAATAAGTGTCTCACAATTCCAGAGGCTTCCCCATTAACTTAGTAGCATCAGTTAATAACTTGATAGTTATTCCACCTAAAAAGTCTATATTTATTTCGAGACTTGCCAAATATACCTTGGTGGAGGACATTAAATGTTACATTTCGTCACGTTTAAAAATCGATGATATCAATATACGTAAATTTAACTTCAATTATAATAAAAGTATATCATCGTTTAAAATAGACGTATCTCTTGAAACATTCAAAAAGATCTTAGATAGTTCATTCTGGCCACCTGGGACTTTTGTACGCGAATTTAAACCTAAACTTAGAAGTCAAACTGAGGAAAACAGTGTTAAATTACCAAAAGCAACCACCGATATAAAAAACTGATTGGTAGAAATTCGCAAAGCATTTATTATCAAAATGTTAGAGGTCTTAATACAAAATTAACTGACTTGTATTTGAACAGTTCCAATTTTAATTTCCATATAATTGGATTAACAGAAACTTGGTTAAAACCTCACATTTTTGATAATGAGATTTTAAACAGCGAATTTCAAATTTTTAGATGTGATCAACTGAACAGAATCGGTGGAGGTGTTCTATTTGCCGTGCATTCCTCTATCCCATCTGAAAATATTCTTGTTCCAGGGACCGACTCATTTGAATTTAAATGTATTAGAGTATACGTTAATAGTTGCTTTATTTATTTAACCCTATCTTATTTACCACCCCATTTGGACTTATCTGTATACATGCAGCATGCTTCTTTAATAAATAGTGCTACCTCGATGGCAAATAATGCAGATTCAATAATTGTATTAGGTGATTTCAATTTACCGTGTGCTTCGTGGAAACCTTTCGATGACTATATCGTGCCGCTTTGCAATCGGTCATGTTTTAATGAGTTTTTCGAAAAAATGTCCGAGTTGGGTCTGAACCAAATTAATTTGATTCCGAATAAATTTGGTAAATGCTTAGATTTAGTATACGTTGATACCTCTGCAAAGTGTTCCGTTATTCGGACTCATATCATCCTGCTTTGGAAATATCTGTCGAAATCTCAGGCATTGTACGGGATAATAATCATCAAACTTCGTGCTTCTGTACTCGGTTTAACTTTGCAAAAGCTAATTTAAAAAAATTAAATACAGAACTTTCTACAATAACATGGCCTAATTATAATGGTGACATTGAATTGAGTGTCTCTCATTTTAATAACATTATTATGAAATTATTTGAAAAGTATGTTCCAATAGTAATTGTTAACAAAAACAAAAGTATAAGTCCGTGGTTTTCGAAAGAGTTATATAAATTGAAAAACAGAAAAACTCGAGCTTTTAAACATTTTAAAAAAACCGGTTCACTTGTCGACTATTCTAAATATTCGCTATTGCGTCGACAATATTTTGACCTAAACAAAAAATGTTATAATAATTACTTAAATAAAGTTAAAAAAAAATATTGTAAGTAATCCAAAATCGTTTTATGATTTCGTCAACTCCAAACGCAGGATTTCCAAATTTCCGTCCGCAATGAAATACAAATCTATCATTTCAAGTGACAATGATATTATATCCAATATGTTTGCAGAAGTTTTCAAAGTCAAACTACTGTAATAATTCTCCCAAAACTTTTTCTTATCAGCAAGTGCTGTGTTCGAATACTTTAATTAACGCTCCAGTTATTTCTGAAGAAGACGTCCTTTTTAATTTAAATAAGTTAAAACCATCTTTTAGTTATGGCCCAGACATGATACCCTTATGCTTCCTAAAAAATAGTGCCAAATATATTTACTTGCCTTTGACAAGGATATTTAATTCCTCTCTTAAACACGGTATATTTCCTTCAATATGGAAACAGTCATTTATAATCCCTTTGCATAAAAGTGGATTTAGATCCAACATTGAAAACTATAGAGGTATCGCAAAACTATCAGTTATACCTAAACTTTTTGAAGCTATCATCACTGACCATATAACCTTTTCGATTTCTCCGTTAATTTGCTCATCTCAGTATGGATTTCGTAAAGGGAACTCGACTATATCAAACTTACTTGAATTTGTAAACCATGTATCATTGGGTTTTAGGGAACATAATCATACGGATGTTATATACACAGACTTTAGCAAAGCTTTCGATAAAGTAAATATCTCGATTCTCATACATAAACTTGATCTGCTGGGCTTTCAGCCAAGATTCCTTCAATGGGTATCTTCCTATCTTTATAATAGAACACAACGAGTGATATTTGAGGATACACCTTCAGATACAATTAATGTTTCTTCTGGTGTTCCGCAAGGTAGTCATCTTGGCCCGATTCTGTTCTTGTTGTTTATTAACGATATCTCTTCAGTAATAGAATTCTCAAAAATTTTATTATACGTTGACGATGTAAAGCTTTTTAAATCATACGCTTCAACTGAGGAAAGGTGTCTGTTGCAAACAGACTTAAACAATTTGGTTGCATGGTGTGATAGAAATGATTTGCCATTGAATCTCAATAAATGTAAGACGAGGTGCTTTTCCCGTAGATCTGTGCACCCCTCTTCTTACGTAATAAAACACCATATTCTAGAGCAAGTTTTAAACTATGTTGATTTGGGAGTTAATATGGACCCTAAGCTTAATTTCAGTCTTCATATTGATACCATGGTCTTGAAAGCAAAAGCTGTCCTCAGTTTTGTTAAACGTTGGTCTAAAGAATTTAGAGATCCGTATATTACTAAAACACTTTATACAACTTTGGTTAGACCTATATTGGAATATGGCTCTGTGGTATGGAACCCTAGCTACCAAATCCATTCTGACAAGTTAGAGTCGGTTCAAAAACAATTTTTACTTTTCGCCTTAGCGCATTTCCGATGGGATGCTAGGGTAAGTCTACCTCCATACACTAGCCGTTTAAAACTTATTAATCTACCTACACTTTCTAGTCGTAGGGAAATGCTTGGCATAATATTCTTAGTGAAACTTTTGAATGGAACTGTTTGCAGTTCTTTTCTCCTGTCTGAAATTAAATTTAATATCCCGGTTCGCCTTTCGAGGCAGTTTAGACCTTTACTGCTAAAATCCTGTAGATCAAATTTTGAACTAAACAAGCCATTCCGCCGTATATGTCATGATTTTAATTCTCATTCCAGCACATTTGACTTATCTGACTCACTTTTCAAAATTAAAAAGACTTTATTGTTTTCTCTTAATAAATGAAAATGTAACAATTTATTATATTGTAACTTTAGATCTTAGCTGTTGAAATTTTTGTTTCTGTAGCTGAGCAGTTTTAGATCTCAACACTTAAAAAAATCTCTTGCCTTTTCTGCACGTATGCGGATTGCGCCCCTCGCGTCGGTTGGGCGGGAGGAGGGTAATCGTTGGGTTTATTATTATTATTATTATGCAAGCTGCCGTAACCGAGATACTGAAGAATATTTTTTTAAATGACATAAAAAAATCTCTGCATGAGCTGGTTGACGATTCTAAACGCCGTATTGAGTCCAATAAAACCTACTCGTATTTTCAAGAAATAATAAATTTCAAAAATAATACTTGTATGATGTGTATTTTACTCTACATAAAGAGTTCGGGGATTTTAGGACATATCGTGCATATCAATATTTAATATTTCAACCGTTGTACTTAAACATAAGCACTAACATTTAAAATCTATATTTGTTATTTTTGTTACTGCAATTTTACCAAGACTTACTTTGTAATTATACCTAACTATTTATCTAAAATTTGTTAAGCTGCCACGAACATTCTGTTACAAGCCATTCAGATTGTGCAAAAAAGGTATATAAGCACTAAACGTATGTATGCTTGTGTATTAAAGGGGAACTGAAAATAGTAAAAACATTTGTATGTAAATGTTGACCTAGTCGCTCGATATTTCGTAACTTAAAAGGAGAGGAGACTCTTAATCGCACTCAAAAAAGCAGATATGCAGACACCTGTTTGGAGGACAGAAAATCCACATAACCTTTGTAATGAGAAACACGACCTTGAAAATGTGGGCAACAGATGTAGGCCAATTCACTTGTTGGGGCCGCACACGACCGGCGTTAGTTCAAGTCGCGTGCTCCACGCGTTTGCATGTGGCCGGCAGCAGGAGACAGATATACAGAACGGCGCAGCAGCATGTAGGCACACAAGCCTGGGCTTTGTTTTCGTAGAAATGTCAAGTGGCTACCATGGCGGCAGCATCGATAACCGAGAGCCCTTCGTGTATCAGGCTTGTGTTGTGTCAATCACCCAGCGTCAATTATTGCTTGAATCAAACACATTTATAGATATACAAATGAATATATTTATTAGTACAATGAATGTAAACAATATCAGAACACCTTGTAACTTGTTACACCTAACAGCCACCCCGTGCAGCCGAATGCTCCTTTTACCACCAAACAAATGCACCAATAGCAAATTAACACTGAGAGCACATATGCTCTACGCTCTCACATTGTTTGCTCGATGGTGAGGATCAACACGCTCTCAACGCAAACCCTTTTCGCTTGGCATCCTTCCGTGACCTTCTCTGACGCTGAGGGCTGTGACGTGTGCTTAATGCCATTGAACGTTGATGTACTATTAGCATATACATATATGCATATAAATAGTAGGGCTTTGGGCTTGTTGTCACCACCTTTGTCAGCAAAGCCGACTAGCATATGATTGCCTATAGCCAGGGGGTGGTTTGAGTCCAGATTTTTATTGGCGGCGATACAATGAGCTTTGTGCAGAATTCGCTAAGCGGGACAAGGGTTCAGGATATGCCGGCACATGCAGGTCGCACGTTGGTCATGCGCTACAAAATCAGTCGAACGCCGTTCGTACACACGATAAGTCACGTGTGGCTTCTAGCTCTGGTAATAATTAAACAAAAATAAATACATAGTTGGTTTTCATAGAGGCATCAGCTTGACCACAAATTTATAACTCTAACCTGTTCATTAAAAATAACTGTGTATTATTGATTTCTGCCACGAAAAATGGAACATAATCTTCATAACAATACGTCGGTTCATTGGGGCTATGGAGTGGCTCCTGTGCCAACTACGCCGCATAGTCACTGGGCTCCGCCACCGCAAAGTCATAGCTTGAAACGCGCATTGTCCGAAAGTGATTGTGATGAACTCTACTCCGAGGAATCTTCGAAGGAACAGTAAGTACCTCTCTTTTCAATTGAAAGAAAGTTGCTAAGACTTTTTTCTTCTGAAAATCTAGAGTATCTCCCAGCGAAACTGGAAGTTGTCAGTTATTGACACGTAAGAAAAGACGAGGTGTCATCGAGAAGAAGCGACGAGATCGCATAAATTCTTCACTCACCGAGTTAAAACGTCTCGTGCCATCTGCTTATGAGAAGCAAGGTTCTGCTAAATTGGAGAAAGCTGAAATTTTGCAATTAACCGTGGAACATTTGAAAAATTTGCAATCAAAAGGTAAATTAATTTAAATACACTTATTTTAGCTCTTTTAGTGAACACATATTCCTATATACACATATGTATGTCGCATGGATATTCACATGGGCATGCTTGACACAGAACAAATGAAATCGTGAAAAAAGTGTGCGAAGAAAGCATTCGTGACAGAAGTGTGTAATATAAAACACAACTTGTTGAAGACATGGATATTAGTGACTAAATTGGAATAAAATGGGTACACTTTAAAATAATCAAGCATTTGCTTACGAAAATTCTCAAAACCAACGATTCATCCAAAATAAGTGATCTAACGAAAAAATTAAGCTCAATGAAATAGGTGATCCATAATTAATTTCTATCATTAAAATTTGATGGAAAGATTTTGAATAATACACAAATTCATTCAGTTATATCCTTGCAATGAAAAAATAAATTAATGTCCCATAGTAAAGTACTAGTTCCGAAGTACAGAATTCAGGGCTATGTCAGAACTTGTTCAAAACGGATAAAAAGTCCAAGTTTGTCAGTTTATGCGCATACACATGCACTAAAGTTTGTTTAAATTTAAACATAAATATTTTGAAAGTCTAAAAGTCTAAAAAATATTGTGTAATTAAAACAAAAAAAAAATTGTAATTTGTTCTCAAGTAGCTTTCAATTAAAAGCAATTTTTTTTTCCAATACAGCATTCTCTTAATCAAAGAAAACTTCTGCAATACAGATCAAAATAATTTCTTTTAAACTATTTATTTAAAATTTTTGAATTATCATTTCATTTACAAAAAGTTTTTTGACAGACATTTTCAATTTTGATTTCGGTCTCGAAACTGTTACATTTGCCTAATGCCAACAAGTCAAAGCATTTTCGGGCAAACCCCTTTATGTCAATTATACGCCTAAAACATTTGCGTGGATTCGGTTTCACCAGTTTTTCCACTTAAAAAGTGTTTCCCACGCTTTCAATTTATCATATTAATCCGCCAGCACAACTTTCCCATAAACCACCACCGCCACCACCTTGGTGCCATTAGTAGGATCAGCAGTCAATTGCCAACAGCAAGGGAATTGTATGCAAGTTAGCAAGTGCCTTTGTCGGCAACTATGTAATTCACCCGTAATGCAAATAATTCTCTATGTCCCACCAACTATGTGCATACATACAGACAATACCAAGACACCACACTATGATAAACTCACCCTCTCCCAAGGCAATCGGGTTGCACAAGCGCTATGAAATATGCTCTATTGTGAGAATAAAAATAGTGATAGCTTTTATTTAGTATTTAACATGTGAAAAATGTGTGCATGTACTAGTATATGTATACCGCAGTGGGTTTATTGATATACAAAGCCATCGCAATTGTTTGCATACTTGAATGACTTATTTATAACTGTATTTATTTATGTTTGCAGGTATTGAATCGTTCAGCTATGATCCTCAACGATTCGCCATGGATTACCATATCATCGGCTTTCGGGAGTGTGCTGCCGAGGTGGCGCGATACTTGGTGACCATAGAGGGTATGGATATCCAAGACCCTCTTCGCCTACGTCTCATGTCACATTTGCAGTATTTCGTGCAACAGCGTGAGTTGTCCGCGAAGAGTTGTGCCAGTCCTGGCGGCTGGACTTCAACATCCGCATCCAGTGGCTATCAGACAAACTGTAGTGCAACACCTTACCAACCTTACCCCGGCACACCTGCTGCTCATCCAGGCATCAATCCGTCGTATATGCCCACGCCACTACATGCCTATCCCACGCTGAGCACCTCGCCAAGCAGCACTTCACACTTGCAGCCGCATCCGCATCACCTTCATCAACACAGCACACAACAACAACAGCAGCAATCTCAGCAGCAAGCGGCGTCTGGGCAGGTCAATCGAGCTTCTTCTGCCAATGGAACTGTACCAAGTGAAACGATGCCCATTATAAGTCACGCAACCAATCAGCCAAATCAACAGCAACAATCCCTTTCAACGCATCAAACGCAATCAGCGCCGTCACATGTGCAGCAAACACCTGTGTCGCACGAATCACATCTTCAACAGCAACCACAACAGCCGCCACCACCGCAAACGCAGCCGCAGCCTCAACACTACACGCAAGAGCACACGCACACCGATCAACAAGGCGTCACTTATGCCGACTTATCTAACGTCCAGGCTCACATTGATCATCGCAATCCCACAGCGGCCATTGCCGCCACTGGTCTGAACTACCCCGGCTCCACGCATTATCCGGTTGCAGCGGCACAGGAGTACAATTCAAATTACGTGGCCGCGAACGGTTCCAAGCCATATCGACCATGGGGTGCCGAAATGGCCTATTAACGACCATATGCAAATATATAACAATAACTACGGTTATCTGTTGATACGGAGTAATGATATTCATAACCTAGTCACGAAAAATAAAACAATTCAAGTCCAACTTACCTAATTTTCTTGTAGAAATTATGAAATAATGAAAATATTAATGTTAACATTTTTTAACTATGTGGTATGCATATGTGAAATTAACTAACTTATGTATACGTATGTTTGCATTTACATATGGTATGTATATCGTATACATACAGGGAACCAACGTGTATAAATATCCACTGTAAAGGTTTTTTTCGGGAAATGAGAAATTTAAGCTTTAATATATACTTGGTAAAGGTGTGAATATATAAATATATTTTTATACAGAAATATTGTAGATATACTATTGTATTTCCTACCATCATTTTTTGATTTATATTTTCCTTGCGTAATGACTTTAAAATAAGTCTACTGTATATTAAAAAAAGTATTTGAATGTAAATAAACAAGTGGTAAACAACTATTTTACATCATTAATCATTCTAAATAGTTACCATGGATATACCGATTACCAATCATCCAACTTTTTGAAATAACGTTTTTAGTACAATTGGTTATTTTTTGGTAAAAATATGCTTCAGTAGCGCGATTTCTTTCTACTGACAATTCTATTGATTGCATTGAGTTTACACATATAATATAAAGGTAAACGATATGTCTAACATGCTTCTGATATATTTTCATCTATTTCAATTAAAGCTAATCCGAAATCATTTTGTGAATTTGTGAAAAATTTTTGTCCGTAACAGCATCTCTTGGATGTCCACTGTGTTATTCAACTTCGGTGCTCGTAGGATTCAGAATCCAGCTAAAATTATTGACGCGATTTTATGTAATCTGTAGTAACGTGATCTATGTACAACTTTTTATACCCAGAATAGGGTATATTAAGTTTGCCACAAACTTTGTAACACTCAAAAGTGACAAGCTGAGTCAATTTAGCCGTGTACGTTTGTTTTCATATGCCGATGTTTCATATATCGATTTTACATGCACACGTTCTTTCCCCCACAAGAAGCTCATGTCGGAACCACCGATATCGGACCACGATAGCATATACAGTATCTCCCGATTAATTGGCCCGCGGTCAATTGATTTTCATGCTTATTTGAATCACTTGATCGGTCAAAAATACATTGCATACAAAATAAGTGTAAATTTTCCCGCTTAATTGGTTAAAAATATGTGTTATTCAAAAGAAATATACCTTTAATTTCCCCCGGTTAATTGCAGAAAAAACTTTCGTTAAATATAATATAAATAATATAATAAATTAAAATAATCCGCCAATCAGTAGCAAAGCAATTGAAATTGTATGTTTATTGGTGAAGAAATTTTGGATAGTGCTGATGTTGCAAAAAGAAAGAGGATGATCCTCCAAAGCCTTCAGTTCTCGACGTTTTAAAATACATGCAAGAAAATTAACTTCAAACATATTTTTATCCAGAAAACAACTTTTTGCTTGAATTATGGAATATGAAATCGCATGTCATTTTACGTAGGTTGAGCAATATAAAAAAATCATTACAGGCTTCTCGAATTAACATTGTAAAAATGTAAGCAACGATCTCTAAATATGTGAACGCTAATGTTACATATATACCATAATGTTAATTTTTTTGTACCTTAAGTTTATTTTACATTTTATATCACTAATCTTTAAATATATAAATATCTTGTTTTTGTTCCTTTCATTTGTTCTGTTAAAAGTTAAAAATATTATTTAAATTTCATTACTAAAAACCAAATAAATACTTAAAGCTCCTATATGATTTTTTTTTAAATTGATTACGTTGTCTAATTAAGCGGGTTTCCTGTTATTGAACGAATTGTTCAATTAAACGAGTATCGGTTAATTGATTTCCAGGTTAATTGAACCAAAAATTGTGTTGTCATACAAACTGACAGAGTCAGTAAGTCCTTGCATGGAAAACATTTTTATTTGACAATATATCTGCTTTGGCGTAAATTTTTGTACTAGAACAAATTGTTCAGATCGGACTACTTTAGAATATAGCTTCCATACAAACTTACTGATCAAAATCAAATTCTTGTGTGAAACTTTTTTTATTTGTGGTGCAACTGAAGTTAACGATTTTTATACTCTTGCAACATGTTGCTACAGAGTATATACACCAAATTCTGTTTTTACACGGTAGATTAGTTCTAGAAAAAACCGTTTAAATGAAACACTGATCATTCCCCTAAATTTGTGCTATTTAACATACAATTGCTCCGATCCATGTATCCATAAAAAGGGAATTCCTCTTAATTTGTGATATGAACATAATTCGTAAAAATTAAATCTGACAAATAAAATGTATGCCCAAAAAATGTTCAACCATCTTAAATGAAATAAAATCGTGTAAAAAATTAAAAACTTGCACAGAAAAAATACTTTTGACACCTTTTTCGACAGTGTGAAAATAGCGGCAATTCGATGATAACAACACCCACCTATACCTACCTTATAACGATTTTGTTAAAAATTACTAAAAATGCGACAAATCAATAAACAAACACATCAGAGACATAAAATTTTATATTTAGGATGGTACAAGATGGCTTTATAGCAGCTGGTGTCAAAAATAGACGATGGGCGTGGCACCGCCCTCCTTTAGGTGAAAACTTAACCTTTGGACCTATTCGACAATCGCGGCTAATTTCCATATGACACAACTTAAAATTCCCTATGGCTCTTTCCCTTTCCACTTTACAAATCAAGCACCAATGAAGAATATATCGGGATAAAACTTTAAATAAATATTGCCTTTAAGGTATATCATCTGCAGTGTAAAAATTGTCAAAATCGAACCGAAGATGTGGACGCAGGTGCCAGGATCAAAGCCAGGGAAATACCGTCAGATACATTAGGCATATGTACAAGTATGTAGTATATGGTAGTTTGGGTAAATTGTGGACCAATTTCATATATTTTCGGCACTAAACTATAGTATTGGTTGGTTTAAAAAATCAAAGACAATTTTTTCATGGAACTAAATAACTTTATTCTGTAATGTATTGCCCATTTTGATCAATGACCTTTTGCCATCTTTCAGGCAGCATCATAATCCCACGTTCATAAAACTTCTGGTTTTTATTATCAAAAAACTGAATCAGGTACGATTTGACATCATCATCATTATTGAAATTTTTACCATTCAAAGAGTTTTGTAAAGATCGAATCAAAAAGTAATCCGATGGTGCAAGGTCAGGACTATATGGTGGATGTTGCAAAACATCCCAACCAATCTCCAATAATTTTTGCCGAGTGACCAAAGATGTGTGTGGCCTTGCATTGTCATGATGGAATACAACATATTTTCGATTTATCAATTCGGGCCGCTTTTCTTCAACTGCATTGTTTAATTTCGTTAGTTGTTCAATGTAGACAACAGAATTGATCGTTCGGTTGGGTGGTAAGAGTTCAAAGTAGACAATTCCTTTATGATCCCACCAAACTGATAGCAAAACCTTCTTTTGATGAATACCAGCTTTTGATGTTGTTTGAGCTGGTTCACCTGGTCTGCTCCACGATCTTTTCCGCTCGATATTGTTGTAAACAACCCATTTTTCATCGCCAGTTATCATTCGTTTTAAAAATGGATAATTTTCATTACGTTTTTTTAGCAAATCGCAGCTGTTAATGCGTTGCGTTAAATGCATTTCTTTCAGTTCGTCAGGAACCCATGTACCGAGTTTTTGAACATAGCCAAGTTGTTTTAAATGAATTTCAATGCATGTATGTGATACCTGAAGCTTCTCTGCAATCTCACGTGTTGTACTGTGATGATCCGAATCGATTATTACTTTGATTAGGTCGTCATCAACTTCAACTAAACGACCAGAGCGTTTTTCATCTGTGAGTGAAAAATCACCAGAACGAAATTTGGCTAACCAATTCTGATACTGCCGTTCTTTTATGGCTTCGTCCCCATAAACAGCACATAACTTTTTGTGAGCTTGTGATGCGTTTTTCCCTTTGCAAAAATAAAAAAGCAAAATATGACGAAATTGTTCCTTTTGATCTTCTATTTTTCAACGAACGCCAAACGAACACTACGCAACCGATCAAAAACCTTTTTTTTTACTGATTGACAGATGAATTGCCAAATATCAAATAACAAAATGTGTTTTACATTTGGACTTCGCCAGCAAACCTAAAACTTCAACTTAGTTGCCAACCCAATAAATCCAATATTATATGTTCAGTCAATTTTGCTAAGGTATCTCATTATTTGCCGATATATGCGATATAAAGTCAGCCGGTAGTTCGAAAATCTTTCTATTAGGTATAACCCCATATTGAATTATAGACCCAATATAACCCATTTTTGACATGGCTTATTATTATCTGAAAAGGTTTCTCTTCGAACTATGGTGATACAGCTGGAATAGTTTGAGAGATGTATACATTAAACATATTTGGAGGCGGGCCAACGCCCACTTTTTTAAATATTTCAAGTCACAAGTGTCCCTTGTTATAATTACTCGTTGTACCAAGTTACAGTTTTGTATCTTAATTTGTAGTTTAATTATGGCAATTTAAAAAAAAAAAACTTTCTATTATGTATAGCCCCGATAGGTTGTCGAAAATCCTCCGCTAAACCCTCCACAAGGGTGCCGACTGTGATACCACAGTTTCACGACGTAGGCAAGGACGAGCTGACAGCAGTTCGCCCCTGTTGTAGTAGTGAGGTATCTAGCTCAGGTCAGGCTTCCTTTCTGGGTGTTCGTTACTCTTCAATAGTACAGCATCCAGATAGGAGGTCTTACTATGGTAGAAGTTGTTTAAAGGCGTGGATCAAGGTGTCATGGGACCCGTGCCGAAGATCAACCTGGCTGGGGGTCCTTAAATAGCCCAGTCTCGCACGGAGCTTACGGATACCTGGCGCCCTCCGTAATAAGATAGCCTTAGTTGCGTAGCGGGGGCTATGCGCAAGCGGACATACTATCCCCTACACTTGTCCAAAATATGAGCCAGTTACAAAAAATTAATAAAAATAAAAAGGAGACCAAGGAGGGACCTCCTTTAAAAAGACCGGAGGGAGCGAGTTGTTCCCAAAGGAGAGCAGCGTTTGGCACGAGCTCGACAACAGCCAAGGCGAGGACAGGAGCGAAGCTTAGT